CTCCATAACTCAGTGAAACAACCCACTAAATGACTTTTAAAAATCACTCTGAGATTCTACCATTTTTAAAAATTATTTTATTACACTGTCGATTCATCACTTCATATTATTGTTAATTATTGTGGCTTATTTTTACTGCAGTTATTTGTTATTCTTGCTAGAGGAGCCGGGATGAGCCTCAAGCAGCTCCAGTGGGATGAGGGAGCAGCAGAGCTGGGGAGCTGTTGCCATCTGCAGGCGGCTCCGTGTGGAATCCTAAAGACACCGGTGTGGAATCCCAAAGACACCAGTGTGGAATCCTAAAGACATCGGTGTGGAATCCCAAAGACACCAGTGTGGAATCCCAAAGACACCGGTGTGAGTGGGAGAGTGGCTGGAAAAGGGGTTTGGGGAGCCCTGGGGAGCAGCCAGGGAAGCTCCTCTGTTCATTGATCCCGTTATCCCAAATCCAGAGGCATCTTGGCTCGTGCCAGCAATGCCATGGGAGCCAGGGCAGGGCTTGTCCCCTCGTGCTGGGCACTGGGCAGGGACACACCTGGAATGTTGGGGGCACGTCTGGGCCCCTCGGGATAAGAAACACACTGAGGGGCTGGAGCGTGTGCAGGGAAGGGAATGGAGCTGGGAAGGAGCTGGAGCAGCAGGAGCAGCTGAGGGAGCTGGGGGGGCTCAGCCTGGAGAAAAGGAGGCTCAGGGGGGATCTTTTTGTTCCCTCCAACTCCCTGACAGGAGGGGGTAGCCGAGGAGGGTCGGGCTCTGCTCCCAGGGAACAGGGTCAGGAGGAGAGGGAACGGCCTCCAGTTGTACAATGGGAGGTTTAAGTTGGATATTAAGGCAAATTCCTCCATGCAAAGGGCTGTCCAGCCCTGGCACAGCTGCCCAGGGCAGGGGTGGATCCCCATCCCTGGAGGGATTTAAAGCCCTGTGGATGTGGGGACATGGGACAGTGGTGGCCTTGGCACTGCTGGGGATGGTTGGACTCGGTGAGCAAAGAGGGCTTTTCCAACCTCAACAAATCTGTGATTCTGTGATAATATGATTTTATGATTCTGTGATCAGGCCAAACATTAATTCCATCAGCATTAATTCCATGCTTTAGCTAATTACAACAGGATCACAATCAGGACTCCTTTGTCATTTGGATGAAAACTGTCCCTTTCCCGACCAAGGGATTTAACTGCACAGGGCCTTGTCCTGAGCTGACAATTCCAGCCCACACTCTGAGCTTGGCACGGGGTGCCCTCCCAAATTCCTGCAGCAGTCTGTGAATAGCTGTTCTTTCAGTACATTCAAAGAGACCCTCTTGCTCTGCATCCATTGAACGATCCCATCCACGGCTGGAACACAGAGGCTCTTGTGCTGGGATGGAATCCAGCAAGTGCAACCAGCCCCTGATGGAGCTTTTCTTGCAGAATGTGAACCCTTGGAGGAGGTAAACGGTCAATTTGAGCACTGCAAACCCTGCAGCCTCGTGACTTTGTGCTGTTACGGGCAGAGAAATAGCTGGGACCTCAAAGTGGGAAATTTTGGGCATTTACATCAGTTTTTTTAAGGCACTGCTCCCTCCCTGCCCCACGGTTGCCATGGATGTGGGATTCAGGGATGCACCTGCAACAGGGGAAAACACTCCTGGTGCCTCCAGAGCCTGAATTTTAGGTGACAAGTGGGTGACACCCTGGGAAGAACCTGAAGGCGTCTCAGCCTGTGTGTCCCGACCCCTCTGCTGTTTCCCGGGAGATGGGAACTCCCCGTGCCTGCCCTGGGAGAGGAGCTGGGAAACGCCCTGGAGAGGGCTTGGAAAGATTCCTTAAATCGCTACCCATTCTGTCCCTACCCTCGAGAAAGAAAGAGGATCTGTGCTTTGGGAGCTCCTGCCTGTCCTCACCTCTGCGTGACTCCAGTTTGAACTGGGAAAGGGTTGTTGATGTAAATCTGCTGCTGGTGGTGAATCAGCCCCTCAGAGGGAAACGCTTCATGGGAGTGTTTTGGACGGAGCTGACCCCACAAACCACGTGCCCGGGCTGGGCCTGCCAGGGGGTAATTATTGGATGATGGTGTGTCATTAATGAAGGTCCTGGGTGCTGCCACGGTAGCAGGATGTTTATTGCATGTCCTTTCAGTGTGAGGATGTCTGGAAAAGCAGGAAAACGATGGCTCAGCACAGCCACCCTCAGCACGCTCCAAGAGACGGGGCTGGGAGAGACGAGACACCCCCGCCTTCCCTTCCTCATTTCCCTTCTGTCCTGCTTTTCTTGCCTTGTTTACTCTTCACTGGCAACAATTATTTTCACTTTCAAACTCATGTCCTCCTTCCATGAACTTTTTCCTCCTCCTTTTTCCTGTTCCAGGCTGGATTTGCCGGTGCCTTGGTGGTGCTTACAAGGGGATTTCCTTCACCGGCGTTTTCATCTCTGCCCAAACTGACCCTTTGAGTCGCTTTCTCAGCATGTCCCATTAAATGTTTGGTTTTGTGGTCGGGTTTTGATCAGTTTTACACCTGTCCTTCGCAGCCCAAACGTGACAGCTTGTTCCCACGTGCCTGTATTTTCCTGGGGATACAGACAGGGAGATGTGTTTGGATTGCCTGGGGGTGAAAGGGCAGCATCAGGAGGCTCCCAATCCAGCATATTTACACCCAGGAGCGGGAGCTGAGCGCTCCAAAAGCGCCTGGAACAGCATTTTGAGCCTGTGTTTGCTCAAGTCCTCACATTTGTTTGCAGAGCTCCTCGTTGTTTCTGGGCAGACACAGAAAGGGGCACCCCAGACACACCTGCACCCCAGAGCTGCCCTGGGCTTGGCACAGGGAGAGGAGGGTGATGCTGAGATGTGGATTGGGGCTGGATGAGCCTGTGGAATAATAAGGAATAACCTTAAAAACAATTATCTGATCCCCTCCTCTTTCCAAAGGGCTTGTCTGGGCACAAACAGAGGTGACTTGGGATGTTTCCAGAATGGGAGAAGTGGGGCAGGGGTGGGGACTGAGGGTCTGCAAGGGGGTGTGTGGGGGTTTCCTTGCCTGGAGCTCTCCTGGAGGCCTGGAATTCCCCATCAGCCACGTTTTGCTGGCTCTCCAGAATTGCTGGGCTGCCCTGCAGAGGTGACTTGGCTGCCATCCCCTCATCCACTGCTGGCTCTGCAGGGTTTGCTGCTCTTCTGCGGGCACCTGAGGTGCTCCAGGAGCGTTTCTCTGGCTGAGAAGCTTTTACTCTTTAAAAAAAAGAAAGAAAGAAAGAAAGAAGAATGCCAATGTGCTGGTGCAGGTTTAGGCTGGTTTTTGTCTTTCTCCTATTTTCACTTCTCTTTTTATTTTTTTTTCCTAAGCAGCTCTTCCAGCATCTCAGGGCAGATCCTGACGTGCCACATTTTCCCTGCCTGAACTCCCTGGCAATGTGTGCAGCTGCCAGTGGTGTTTCAGGCAGGCAGAGGATGGGGTGACATCAGCCCACCCTCAGGGTCAGAAAGGGAAACGGGAGTGTCACAGGCACCTCTTCCCTTGCCAGTGCTCAGTGCCCGGGTTCCTGCGGGGCATCAGCCAGGACACTGGTGGCAGTGCCAGCCCACGGGCCTGAGCTGTGTATCCCAACTGCCAGAGGGCAGGGATAGATGGGATATTGGGAAGGAATTCCTGGCTGGGAGGGTGGGCAGGCCCTGGCACAGGTTACCCAGAGAAGCTGTGGCTGCCCCAGCCCTGGGAGTGTCCCAGGCCAGGTTGGAGCAACCAGGGCCAGTGGAAGGTGTCCCTGCCCACGACAGGGGTGGCACTGGATGGGCTTTAAGGTCCTTCCAACCCAACCCAAGCCAATTCCATTATTCTATGATGATTCAGCACGTATATATAATCCTCCTAAGATACAATACGTGCAGAATGTGAGGTGTGTATATATATTTATGAACTCACGCCCTATATATCTGCACCTGTACTGAGGGGAGCGTGTGTAAACACCCTGTACATACAAGCCCACGTATCTCTGTGATACCTCCGGAGCACCTGAGCGCACCAGCGCACCCAGGACCCCCCAAAAACGGGTTGGGGGTGGGCCGGGAAGGCGCTCCGGGGGCGTGTCCGGGGCGTGTCCTCTGCTCTCCCGCCCCTCCTGCCGAGGAGGAGGCGCTTCCCAGGCGGTCCCGCGGCGGGATCAGCGCCGCGATGTCCGAGCGCGGGCAGGAGCCCGACAGGTGAGCGGGGCTGGGGGGGGGGCCTTGGGGACCCTCCTGTCCCCCCGCCGGGCGCCACCCGGCCCCGCGCATCCTCCCGCGGCCCCTCCCGCCATCCCCGGGACCCCCCGCCATCCCCCGGCCACCCCAACCGCTCTTGTCCCCCTGCATCCTCCCGATGCCCCCTGCACCCTCCTGTGCCTTCTTGCATCCTCCCGGTTCTCCCCCTGCCCTTCCCGATGCCCTCCCAGCCCTTCCCGATGCGCCCCTGCACCCCAGCCCTCCCGGTGTCCTCCCTGCCCCTCCCCGTGCCCCCAGCATCCCTCCCATCCCCCAGCATCCCTCCCATCCCCCAGCATCCCTCCCAGCCGCCTTCCCATCCCCCAAACCACCTTGCATCCCTCGGCATCCTTCTGTTTCCTCCACCCCAAGCTCCGCCCTCCCTTCCCCCCATCACCCCATCCTCACCCAGCGCGGGAGGTCCTTCCCTCCCCAAATACCCCCCGTCCCTGCGGGCCGGTTTGGGTGCCCGCTGCGTGCACCTGCAGCGGGGTCGCCATCGTCGAGCTCCGCATCCTCTTCCTCGGGCAGACAAAGCGCCGGGCGAGCCAGCGGCGCTGCCCGCCCCGCCCCGAACCCCCTGCAGCCCCCGCGGCATCCCCCGCTCCGCCCAGAACCCCCTGGCCCCGAGGTCATTCCTGTCCTTCCAGAGGTGACTTACTCCGGGGTCAGGGAGGGCTCTGAGGGGGCAGAGGGACCTGAGGTCCCTCTGCCCCCTCAGAGCCCTCCCTGACCCCGGGGTCCCTCTGCTTCCCCCAGAGGGACTGACCCTGGGGTCCCTCTGCCCCCCTCCATCAGCCCCGCGAGCAACGATCGTGTTTATCTCCGTGTTTATCTCTGTGTTTATCATCTCCGTGTTCATCTCCGTGTTTATCTCCCCTTCTCACGCTCCAGCGGGCGCTGGGAACCCCCTCTCTCCCAGCGGGATCCTCCGGCGGGGAAGGGCAGGGGCCGCAGCGCGTTTCTCTCCGCCGCGGTTAATATTAACATATTAACACATATTAACATTATTAACGCGTTAACAGTTATCGCCGCTAACAGTTATCGCCCGGACAACGCGTGTTGTTTGGTTCGCTCGCTTGTGGGTTTTGTTTAATTCCCTTCCTGTCTTGTTTTCTCCCCGCCCTCCGGAGCGCGTTTTGCAGCTCGGGGAGGCGGGAAATGCAGCTGCGAGGGGGTTATAGGAGCCAAACGTGATTTAAGCAAACCCACTTTAGCAAGCCAGCACTTGGTGGAAGGGTTGAAGGGTTGCACAAACAACTCTTGGCTTGGGTGCCGTGCCTGGGGAATATTCAGGCTTTGTCCAAATATTGCTGATATATATAATTTTTTATTTTTATTTTTTTTAAGATACAGTTTGGAAGCACAAACCTTGTTGTGTAATTTCCTGCGGGGGGGGGAAACCCTTTCCCAGTTCTTCCTGCCCTTGACCCACCGACTTCCAGCTCCAGCATGGAGCACCCCCTCTGCTGTGCTGCACCCAAGACCTCCCAGCTTGCATCTCTTCCCCTAATTCCTCAGGAATCCAATCGTTAGGGGTTGATTTTCCCGCCTCCTTAATTACCACCTATTCATTTCTTTGCCGGTTTTGTGTTTGAGTGCCCTGGCGTGGCAGCAGCCAGGGCTCTGAGCACTCATTCCATGTGCACCCTGGGAGCTGGGACCCGGAGCAGGCAGGTGGTGGATGCAGTGACAGCCTGGGATGGCCAAAATCAGCCTCCTGGGATGGCCAAAATCAGCCTCCTGGGATGGCCAAAATCAGCCTCCTGGGATGGGCAAAATCAGCCTCCTGGGATGGCCAAAATCAGCCTCCTGGGCTGAGCTGCCAAACAGTGACTCCCACATCTTGGCTTCACCATCAGCAGCATCCCCTGGCATGGCCTGGGTGGCACTGTGGCACCCCAAAAAGCAAAGGGATAGTTGCTTTTTCCCTGCCTGCTGTTCCACCTTCCCACTGGAATATTGCTGGTGCCTCCAAAGGGCAGGAGAGCTGGATGTCACCATGGTGACTGCACCCAGGGCCGTTCCCTCCCTCAGCACAGCTCTGGTGGAGCTGCATGACAGATGTTGTGGAGCTCCAGGCAAAGGTTTCCAAACCGGATCTTTGTCCAGAAATGATAAACTCAGCAGTTTTTCTCTTGTTCAGGGTGAGGGGAGGCTGTGGGTTGGTCTGAATTTGCCCCAGGCCACAAGTGGGTGATGGGGCTGTTGGATTCTCTGCCACATCCCAGCCCCTGCGTTTATCTGAGCTTTGTGCCTTGCCGGGGATTGGTTGGATTGCTGCCAAATCCAACGGGCGCCTGGCACGGAGGGCTGGCCTTTGGGAATCACCTGCAGCAGAGCCAGACAGCCCCAAAAGGGCCAGGACAGAGCCAGGGCAGGGGGGGATGTTGGAGAAAATGAATATTTAATCACCAGCCCCCCTGTCCTAAGTTACCTCCCAGCCTGCCATTCCCTGGCCAGAGCCCGGGAGCGATGCCAGGGAGCGGGAGATGGTGAATGCTGCTCCTGGGGAAGCGTGGGAAAGGACTGGCAGATCTACTCATGTGTGTCTCCTTTTGTCTTCCAGCAGAGCCGAGTCCCTCTCTTCGGATGAAAAAGGTACAGGGATTTTGTGAAATTCCTTTGGAATGGAAAGGGGCAATTTTATAACCACTGGCTTTGAAAACCGTGCTGTGAAACTGTCGTTTGTGGATCGGTTTTGATTGTTTGTCCCGATTTTTAAAAATCCTTTGCTATTTGTTGCCTTTCCCCGAGCTGCTGAGCACGAAATTTGCCAAGAGAAGGGTTAAACCTTTTTCCAACCTGTATTCCCTGCCTGCTTTTCCCTTGCAGAGGTGACGTCCAGTGGCACGGAGGGAGAGGGCTCCGCCGAGGAGCACCCGGCGGGTGAGCACACGTGGGGCTCTCCTCACACTTGGGGCGGTGTGGCCAGCCCTGCATCCCAAACATCCCCCCAGAGCACGTCCCAAAGCACGTCCCTTACTTTGCAATGCTGGTTTCTCTTCAGCTTGGGTCCGTAAGAATAATTTATTGCAGCCGCCTTCGGTGCATCCACGCGAGTCGTGTCCCTGGTGGGACATGCAGCTCCCACCGAGGCTTCTCCCACCCGTGTGCACGCCATGGAAACCCAGAATTTAACTGGGGTGTGCCGTGGGTGAAGCTCCCAAATAATCCCAGGTTGTATAAAGCATTAACACTGAATATGCTGAACACCACAGGTACCCTCTGGAAGGGCCTGGGTGACCCCAAAGTTTTCCAGGGTGCTGGGATTTGATGCTCTCCTGCTCTTCTCTGCCTCAGTGTTTTTTCTGCTCTGTTATATTATGTAACCTGCTGACTCACCTGATGTATCCAAACCCTCTGGATGTATCCTTGGATTCATTCCACCTGTGCCTAATGCGGTGTTAATCTGTTAAGGAGAGGCCGGTTCCGAAAGCAGCTCCAGCAGCAGCTCCGAGGAGGAGTCAGGTGAGCATAACGTTGTGCTTTACCTGTTGTCTCTCCCTGCAAACTGATGTTCAGTTCAAACCAGCTGCTTCTCCTGGGAATAGTCTCCCACTTAGTGCAGAATGTTAACCCAGAGATTGCTTTTCCAATGGTATTTTTGGGAGCCAGTGATTTCCAATCGACGATCAAAGAGCAGCAGCCGTGTTTCTCTCACCTGGCAGACACAATACCCACGGTTGTTTTTCCTACACAGTAGTTGTCCAAACACCACGAGGCCATAAATTTCCTCCAAACTTGGCAGCAAAGCTGGCAAAACAGGATGGACAGGAAAAGAATTAAAGGAAGCTGCTGATGAAAAGCTGGTGGGTTTGCACTTCCACGGGTTGTGCCTCCAGCAGTTTATTCTGGTTTTGTGCAAGACTATCAGTCTTCAGTTAAATAATTACAATGTTTTCCCTCGTCAGATGTGGAGGAGTGGGTGGGAGGAAGGTCAGGAAGTGTGGTTTTATTGTGTCCTTTGTCTTCCTCCTGCACAGCCAGGCTTTGAGGAATCCAGCCAGGATAAAGGCTGCAGGAGGGGTGATGTGGGATGGCAGGAGGGATTTAGAGCTGGCCCTGCCATCACCCCCAACGTCTTGGGATTGCTGGAGAGCTTCCTCAGGAAGGGAGGGGCACGGGGGCATGAGGTTCCACGTGCAGGGGGTGTTCCTGGTGTGATTGCAATCCCTGCTGCAGCTCCAGGGGCTGGAATAGCAGTGGCTTGGGAAGCAGCCGGCACCCCGTGGCGTTGGTTGATGTTTGCCAGGCTGTTGCTGCAGCAGGACCTTCTCTGCCTCTCCCACCCCTGCCTGTCCAGAGGGTGCTGGTCCTGGGATGGCTTTGGGACAATCTCCCTCCAGGGTCCCTCTCCTTGGAATTCTGGGACTCATCCCATCCTCACGCTTGGCTCGGCAGCTCCACCACCCTCCTCCTCCCAAATCCCCCCTCCAGGCTACGAGCCTGAGGGCTCACCTCCTCTTCCATTTGGGAATCACCAAGGAGGATCCAGGCACTTCCAGGTCATTTTAGGGACAAATCCACTGCAAACAGCACATTTGCATGGGTGTTTTCCCTGCTCCCTGGCAAGGCTGTTGTGGTTTCCGTGCCAGGTGGCTGAACTTTGGCCTTGGCACAATGAGGCTCGTCCTGGGGATGAATCTTCTTTTTAACCCCTGGGAAAATTTCCAGTGGTTTGGGCAACTCGTGAGCTTTTGGCCAAAGTTGGATCCTGATGGTCAGCTTCGTCCCCACCCTGTGCAAGGCCTCAGCCTCGGGAATGTTTTCCTTCAGGTTTTATGAATTTAAGCAAATTTAACTGGGAGGGGGGAGGGTTGTCCTTGGGGAACAAGGAATGTTCTCCTTAAAATGTTATGAATTTAAGCAAATTGAATTGGGAAAAAAAACCAAAACCTGCTGGAGACTGAGGTAATTGCTGCAAACTTCTTTTTTTCTAGATGAAGAACAGGAGGAGAAGGAATCTCCACCGAGCTGCGATGAATCAGGAAGGAACGGATCTCCTGAGGGTTTGTTGGTTGTTTTATTTTTTTTTTCTTACTGTTTAATTACTTTGCTTCTAACGAGCTCATCTTCCTCTTTTCCCACTAGGAAAGATGTGCCTGCCACCCTGTGAGCACTGCAGGAATGAAAATGTAGGTTTAGGAGACAAAAAAACCAACTCGTGTATTTTGCAGGAGATCATTTGCAAATTGTAATTCCTCTCTCTCACCACCTTTTTAAAGTGTTTTTTTTTTCTTTTTTTTTTTTACATCTATTTATAGGACCAGAAGGAGGAAGTGACCCCAAGGAGACTTGCTGGAGGACAATTTATGTATGGAATTTTCTTTTTTTTTTAATATATTGGGTGTAAATTTACATTATTCTCACCAAGATGCTTCAGTCTTTGGTTTAAGTGGGAAAATGGTAATTTGCTGCACAAATGCATTTGAAGATACAGTGGAAGGTGTTTCCAAATCCTTAAAAATAAGCAGTTTAGAGCAGCTGCCTGTGTTGTCTCCAGATCCTGGTCCAAGCAAACTCTTAGGAGGGTTTCCTGCCTCATCCTGCTGCAGTAATTAACACCAGGCCCAATTTTATCTGCTAATTTTAGTCTGGACACACGTGAGGGATCTTACCCTGCTTCATCCTCCCCAGTAGCACTGACCTTGTGTTTTTCCATGGATCCCAGCCTTGTTCTCCCTCTCTCTGCCCTGGAATTGTCACCAGTGTGGGATGTCGGTGTCCGGGTATCCTTTGGGGTTCTCCCTGCTGGATGTTGGGGTTGTCCACGTGCAGCGTTGGCTCTGACCTCGAGTCTGAGCCTTTTGTGTGACAGCAGCTGCCTCGTGCAGCAAATATCCTACAAAACATAATGCAAAATGCCCATTCCAGCTGTTTTACCCATGCTGGCTGGGTCCTGCCAGTGGTTAACTGGCAGCTAAAACACAGAGACAGGAGACAGAAACATTGTTGTGGCTCCTGTGCTGCTCAGATAAAGTGGCTGGGAAGGGAGTTGCTCCGTTATCCCCCCCGGGCCATGTTTCCATGGGGTTTTTGGCGGTGGAAGCCGAACCAGCACGTGTCTCTGCCCACCCCAGGCTGCAGCTGGACGGAGAAGGGACCTACCAGTGCAGCCTCACGGGCTTGATCTTCGAGGTGACGGGCCGTGTGAGGATCACCTACTCACTGCTGTCCTGGAGCAAGTTCTCCAGCCTGGTGGAGAAGCCGTGGATCGTGGGCGGGCCCCTCTTCGACGTGCGCTGCGACTCCGCGCCCGCCCTCACCTCCATCCAGTTCCCGCACTCGCTGTGCCTGGGGGGTGAGTGCCAGGGGACACTGGGGCTGGGAGGGCGCTGCTCCCGCAGCAGAGGGTGCTGCTCCCGCAGCAGAGGGTGCTGAGCAGCCCCCCTGTCCCCAGATGACGGTGCTGGGATGGCCTTCAAGGTGCTGCACGTCAAGGGCGACGGCGCGGCCATCGAGCCCTCGGCCGCCTACTCGGCCTCGCACGTGAGGTGGGTGGTGAGCTCCCTGTCGCCCGTGGGGCCCCTGATCCAGAGCCAGGAGCCTGTGCAGTACCACGGGGCTGTCATCCTCTACAAAGCCGTGGATGAGCATCCCTCGCTGTCCTTCCGCGTCTACGTGGCGACAAACAACGACTCCTTCATAAAGGTGCGGCCCGGGCTGGGTGGGACGATGCACACACACCCCACAGGGTGGGGGTGGGACCAGGGAATGCTTTCCTTTTGGCCCCCCCGTGGGCAGGGACACCTCCCACTGGAGCAGCCTGCCCTGTCCAACCTGGACCGGGACGCTTCCAGGGATGGGGATTCCAAGGGATGCTTTTCTCTCACCTCAGTGTTTACATGCAAGGATATCCATCTCTCCATAACTCCCATGTTGAGATGTGCCAAGTTAGGGCGTGGAATTTAATAATTAAACATCACACACCTTGGCCAGTATAAGTGTTTACATTGGCCAACTTTCCTGCTTCAGCTCTTCTCACAAATTCCACCAATTAACCTCTGCAGCAACTGGTGCTGACAGAAGTGTTTGTCAACCCAGAGGATTTTCAGGAAACTCCTCCTGACCTTCTCCACTGCTGTGTTTTTCACATCTGTTTTATATATAAATCACCTAAAAATACCTACAGATGATATGGCAGGTCAGCAACAAAAGTGTGATCTGCCAGGGAGACAATTCAGCCATTGAGATGAATTTATTTGCTTTACTAGAGGCCATCCAAGACCAGTGGCAAGTTTATACATTGCCACTGAAAATTACCTGGGAATTTGGGAAGGCAACTGACAGTGAATTCATCCACCAGTTTTCCTGCCACCAGTTTTCCTGCTGCCAAAGATCACGTCAGAAATGACCTCAGAGGAGAACAGAGCAGAGAGAAAAGAAAGGACGTGGAACTAAACCAGGATAAAGTTACAGCTTTGCAGAATTCCTTGCAATGTTGTGCTGATGATTCAGATCTAGCTGGGCAGGAGCTGTGTCAGGGACATGATTTTAATTTACCCTGATACAGTGAGGACAGGGACAAATAACCTTCCTTTGATTTGGGGTTGTAAACTCTTTTTATCTCGTTTCACCACCCCCCCCGAACACAGGTCTGAAATGCTGATTTCTTTGCTGAAATGAGTAACCTCAAAACCATATTTATAAATTTCAGGACATCTCAAAAGCTGTCAAACATTCAAACAAGAAATTTGTTAAGATTGACAAGCCCCCTGTGTGCCAGAAGCTACTCCAGAATGGAAAGAGGTACAGATTGGTTTGTGAGCCAGAAGCTGAAATAACTCCTGAGGTAAGTCCCTTAAACGACCCTCCCTTCCTGCACTGCAGCTTCATAGAAATACAGCCCCAAAAGGCTTTTCCTGGGCATTCCTGCACTGGCATTAAGGCCATTTTTCACATTCTATTTGCCTCTTAGAGCCCTAAAATTTTGGGATGAAATCCTGATGCCACAAGAGCAGAACTCTGGGGGGATTGGAGTCGGGCTCTGCCCCAGTTGCCTCCTCTTAGGTTGATGTTTTGGGTAAACGTCGAATTTTAAAATATTTATGTTGTGTAGGAAATTGAATTCGTTGATGGATCACTCCTGAAACTGAAGAGTTACATTGAAGTGTATGTGGAGAAACCTGATGAGTTCACCCTGTCTCTGGTTGAGCTGGACTCTGATGCAACAGTCTGGAAAGCAAAACTCCGAGAACGTGAGTCTTTGGGCTTCAGGGAATCATGGAATGGTTTGGAAGGGGCCTTAAAGGCCATCTAGTTCCAACCCCCCTGCATATTGCTGCATATTATAATGTATTATTCCATGGGTATATAATATAACTTTGCAAATTATTGAGAACATGCAGTTCTGGTGCATATTCTGAAGTGCACATTGAATAGAAGGGGGGAAAAAAATCTCATTATATAAAACTTCCTCTTTGGGCCTGAGAACCACTGAAGGTTGGCCATAAGAACTGGGAATTCCTCCTTCACCTTTTGTTTCCTCTGCCAACTCTTCCCAGGGGACTGGCTGCATTATGACCACAACAAGAACAAGCAGAAGAGAAGCACAGGCTGTGAGTCAGCTTGGAGATGTTGGGCTTGGGGTGGCTTGTCTGGGTGCCCCTTCCTTGCTCCTGTAGCTCAGGAGATGTGACACTGGTGACATCACCTCTTGCTTCCTTCCCAGGTGTCAAAAAAAGGAAACCAGCCTCGGCAGAAGGGGGACTTTGCAGCAAAAAGCAGAAGACTGGTGACACTGCAGGTGCAGCCTCTGGGTGGCCTTTAAAATAACGTGTTTGGGGGGGGTTGTGTCCTGTGAGAGTGAGGGGAGACCTCACTGCAGCTCCATCTGCCTGGGCAGGGACTGAGCTCTGCTCTGGGGGGACCAGGGACAGCCCCCAGGGAATGGCTGGAGCTGTGTCAGGGCAGGCTCAGGGTGGATCTCAGGGAAAGGTTCTTCCCCCAGAGGGTGGTTGGCACTGAACAGGCTCCCCAGGGCAGTGGGCACAGCCCCAAGGCTGCCAGAGCTGCAGGAGGGTTTGGATGATCCTCTGGAGCACAGGGGGTGACTCTGGGGCTGGGACTGTGCAGGGCTGAGGGTTGGACTCCATGGTCCTGGTGGGTCCCTCCCAGCTCAGCCCATCCTGGGAAACTGAGCTCACTTATTTAAAGACTTCCACCCCCTGGAATGCTCCAGGCTTGGGGAAGAGCAGTGGGAAAGCTGCCCATGGGAAGAGGACCTGGCTGTGGGGGTCGACAGTGGCTGAACATGAACATGCCCAGCTCCATGCCGGGTGGGCAGGTGGTGCTGGTGGCACCTGCCTTGGATCAGGAATGCTGAGGCAGCAGGGCCAGAGAAGTGATTTTTTTTTTCCCTGTGTTGGGCACTGGGGAGGCTCCACCTCGAGTCCTGGGGGCAGTTCTGGGCCATGTCCAGGGAAGGGAATGGAGCTGGGAAGGGGCTGGAGCAGCAGGAGGGGCTGAGGGAGCTGGGGGGGCTCAGCCTGGAGAAAAGGAGGCTCAGGGGGGACCTTCTGGCTCTGCAATCCCTGACAGGAGGGGAGAGCAGGGGGGATCGGGCTCTGCTCCCAGGGAACAGGGACAGGAGGAGAGGAGAGTTTGCCAGGGAAGGTTTGGGTTGGATTTTAGGAAGAATACCCTGTCTTTGCAGATGGCATCGGAACAAAAATCCTGACGGACCAGCAGCTGCTGGCGGTTGCGAAGCAGTTGGGGCGGCAGTGGAGGGAAATCGCCATCGAGTGCCTGGAGATGGAGATGAAGGACATCGAGGAGATTCAGGCCATGGAGGGAGATGTCAATATGCAGAAGTTCCTGGTGCTGAGGAAGTGGAGAGACAGGCAGCAAAGCAGTGGCACTGCAGAAGCTCTGCTGAGGAGTCTGGGTGATAAAGGGTCCTGTGAGCTGGAGCTGCTGCAAATGCTGCAAGGTATCCCCCTCTGGGTTTGGTTGAATCCCATCCCTGTGTCTCAGCTGTGTTTTTAGAATTCCCATCAGAGAATTCACCAAATCCCCAGGGCATGGTTGACTATGCAGGGCAAAACCATCTCCCTTCCCTTATCAGAGAGATTTTCTTTTTCGTGGCGTTTTTATCATTCCCTTCAAAAATCTAAATAAATAAATAAATAATGAAAAAGAAATTACAAACTGATATAAAATGAAGAATATTTCTGCACTGACTGTGTTGAGAGCACTCTCAGCACGACCTGGCTGTGCTGGCTGAGCAGGTCAGTGTTTTACACCTAAACCAATTCTTGGTCTTCTGTGCAAGTCCCAAGGAGAGATGTTTTGAGTCTTTATTCTTATGTATTTTTATTTGTTCTTATGTATTCTTATGTATTTATGTATTTTAATTAACACTTTTTCCTGACTGATAATTTAATAGTTCTGAGAACTGTCCCTGTTGGACAGTTCTGAGAACTGCTGGAATTTGCTGAAGGGACATTTAAGGTCCCTTCCAACCCAGACCATTCCATAATTCTGTGACCCAGCCGAGGGGAATTGTCCTCAAAAACTAAATGTGGTTTTTTTTTTCTGCAACAGCAAAACCTTGTTCTTTTTGAATTCCTTAACCAGGACAAGAGAAAATGGCCTCAGGTTGTGCCAGGGGAGGCTTAGGTTTGATATTAGGAAAGATTTCTTCATGGGAAGGGTTGTGAAGTCCTGGCCCAGGGTCCAGTCCCCATCCCTGGAGGGGTTTAAAAGCTGTGTGGATGTGGCACTTGGGGACAGGGGTCAATGGTGGCCTTGGCAGTGCTGCTTGGCCTTGATGATCTTGGAGGTCTTTCCCAAGCAGATTCCATGACTAATTCTCCCTAAAAAACACCCTGGCAGCAAAGGCTGGAGAGCTGCTCGTGCTGCCGCTGTCCCTCCCGACCCTGTCTGTGCCCCAGCCTTGTGCTGTCCCGGGGGGGTTTAATACATTTATTATTCATCTGGAATATTTTTAAATGCAGTTTTAATTGTCCTTGAACGTTGCAGTGACTTGCAGAGCTCAGTGTGTTTTCCTCCCCTCAGATTTCTCGGCTCAGTGCTGAGCTGGAAGGACCTGCAGGCAGTGGGAGCTTCCCCATCCAGCCCTTCTGCTCCTCTGGGATCCTGCTGGGATTCAGGAAGGAGGATGCAAAAGCATCGTCGCTCAGAGGGAAGTTTAGGCTGGATCTTCTCAAGCAATGTGAATGAAATTTGGGATACAAGCCACTTCCAAGACTTCCAGGAGCGGTGGATCCTGACATCTCCAGGCTTCACCTGCAGGGAATTCCACCACTGTCACCTCATCTGAGCCACTCCTCGAAGATGGGACCCCTGGAACAAACCAGGTGGAATTGTTCGCTCCAGGATCCCTCCCTGGGAGATATTTTCATTTACAGCAGGGAAAAACAGGGAGAAAAGCTACCACAGGAACTCCCATCCCCTCACAAAGCCACGCTGAACCACCCGAGTCGGGAGGTGCTTTGGATTTCTCCTGGATGTCCAAGATCAGGGAAGGATAATCCTGAACTTTGCAGGCGAATTCCTTTGCAGAATCACTGTGTAAATATAATTGCTGTACATACTCCTGTACATTCAGTCCTTGTTAAGCTGTGGTTCTCTTCTCTAAAATCCCAAAGACTGATTTTGCAGAAGCACCACTGTGTACTCCAGGCAGCTTGGAATTTGCCCTGGGAATTTCTTTTCCACTCTTTTTTGTATAGTCTGTATTTTTACGAGAGAGGTTTGTTGTTTTTTTTACGTTGTATAATTTTTTTTTTTATATGAGAAACTTTTTCTACTTTGTGCTTGATTCATTTTAACTCGAATTAGGTGCTTAAACTTCCATGGGAGGAGCCAGAATTCCTGGGAAGGGCCCTCCACGTGCTACAGAATTTGGAAAAGATTTGGGAATAACGTGATTTGCAGAAGAGAGCGGTGACCTGATCTGGGATTGTCTGATTTTTAAGGATATGGGATGCTTGGGATCATCTTCCTCTGAGTGTGTTTATGAAAGAAAAAGCATACTTAAAAAAAAAAAGATAAGGATTAAAGAGGAACAATTTACACGATTTACACATGATTTTGGATTTATTTTTTTCATTTTAGCTGCTGGATGAAGTGTTGGGAGGCTGCTGCCATCTCTCCAAGCTTTGATGCTTCTGCTGCTGCGACATCCAGGGGGGTGGATGAGGGAAATGGTGCTCAAAACCTCGTGGGATCTTCTGCCAGGGGGCATTTTGGGGGAAGGGGAAGAAAAAAGCAGTGGGAGGTTTCCCAACCCCAGTGGAACTGCCCTTGGCTCCTCCAGCTGGGATGAGAAAGGGGGGAATGGCCATGAGGGCAATGAAGACACCAAATCACATCCAAATCTTTAATAGGACTCCCTGATCCAGAGGAGAAATGAGTAAATCCATGGAAATAAGGTGGGTGGTTGGAATGATGAGGGTCAGAAGGGACAATCAGGTCTTCAACCTTCAGGTTCTGTAAATCAAAATGCCTTTTTTTAAAAAAGAAAAAAGATTGTGTTTCTGTGGGGTTTAGGCTGGCTTTGCCCAGCTCTTGGATGCAAGAGGAATTCCAGCATTCCAGCTGCACCCAGGTGTGAGTTGCTCCTGATTTACAGCTTGGTGTGCGTTGTGGGTGCTCTGAGAGACCACAACTTCAGTTCTGCACTTGGAATCCTGAAATCAGGGAATGGTTTGGCTTGGAAGGGACCTCAAAGCCCATCTCATTCCAACCCAATCCAAGAGGGAAACAGGATTTTAAAATATCCCAGTTACCTTTACGTGCCAGCAATATTCCAAGTGCTTTATTTGTACTTATATTCCCGTTAAATCTCCAGGAAGAGCAAAGAAGCCACTGCAGTTTGTAAGGTAACTTGAATTTTATTGGGCAATAAATAGAATAAATAAGGAATATAATATAATATAATATAAATAAATCACAGGATGGGATACCCTGAGTTGGAAAGGGAAAAGGATTATTATAAATAGACCTCAATTTGGGGGAAAATAAGCTGAATAAATAAAAGATGATAAATCACAGTTGGTGCTAAGATGTAGCTTATTTCCTAGGAATGTCCAAGCTCAACTGGCCCAGCTCCCGAAAAAAATTCCCTTATCCTGAGCCCGTGGGTTGATCCTGCTGGGTTGTTTGTTTTTTTTTTCTTTTCTCCAAGGAATCCTTGGATGTGCTGAGGGTGCTCACAGGGAGCTGAGGAAGTTGATCATCCTGGAGATGGTGATGGAGCGGACGTGGAGAGCCTGCAGGACCCGGCACAGCCGCAGAGCCTCCCGGAACGACTCCGGAGCTGCTCCCGCCGCGCGCTCCGGGCCGTCCCAGCCGCCGTTCAGCGCCTGCCACGGGAAAATTTGGGAATGTGGGGGTGACACTGAAACCTGGGAAATGTTTGGTTCAGTCGCTGCTGGGCCGAGGATGAAATCGGAGTTATTTGATTGTAATTAAATAGTGAAATAATTGTGGTGTTACTGAGGGAGCAAAATAAAATGGTTATTACTGAGGGAGGAAAAGAAGAAACAACTGAGGGTGAAAGTTGGGATGATTAACGGTGTAATTGATGGGGTAATTTTTGGAATATTCAATGATATTAGTAGCATAACATTTGAAATATGGAATGTGATTAATAAGGAAATTTTGAACTATTTAACGTTAGAACAGGACAAATTTTGCAGTATTGGATGTTATTACTAGACATAGGCTAAAAGTTGAGATATTTAATGGTATAATTAAGGAGGGTATTTTTTAAAATATTCAATGATATTAATAGGAAAAATTTGAAATATTTATTTTTATAATAGGATAACTTTTGAAATATCTAATGATACCATTATTAGACAGGATAAAAGTTGAGATATTTAATGGTGTAGTTAATAGAGTAATTTTTAAATTATTCAATGATATTAGTAGCATAAAATTTGAAATACCAAATGTGATTAATAAGGAAATTTTGAACTATTTAATGTTAGAACAGGAAAATTTTGCAGTATTGAGTGATATTACTAGATATAGGATAAAAGTTGAGATATTTAATGGTATAATTAAAGAGGGTATTTTAAATATTCAATGATATTAATAGGATTAAATCTGAAATATTGAACGTAATTATTAGGAAAAATTTGTAATATTTATTTTTATAATAGGATAACTTTTGAAATATCTAATGATACCATTATTAGAGGATAAAAGTTGAGATATTTAATGATATAATTAAGGATTCAATGATATTCATGATATTCAATTCAAATATTCAATGATATTAATAGGAAAAATTTGAAATATTTATTTTTATAATAGGATAACTTTTGAAATATCTAATGATACCATTATTAGACAGGATAAAAGTTGAGATATTTAATGGTGTAATTAATAGAGGAATTTTTAAATTATTCAATGATATTAGTAGCATAACATTTGAAATACCAAATGTGATTAATAAGGAAATTTTGAACTATTTAATGTTAGAACAGGAAAATTTTGCAGTATTGAGTGATATTACTAAACATAGGATAAAAGTTGAGATATTTAATGGTATAATTAAGGAGGGTATTTTTTAAAATATTCAATGATATTAATAGGATTAAATCTGAAATATTGAACGTAATTATTAGGAAAAATTTGAAATATTTAATTTTGTAATAGGATAAATTTTGAAATATTTAATGATATCATTACTAGACATGGGATAAAAGTTGAGATACTTAATGGTGTAATTAAGAGAGTAATTTTTAAATTATTCAATGATATTAGTAGCATAACATTTGAAATACCAAATGTGATTAATAAGGAAATTTTGAACTATTTAATGTTAGAACAGGACGAATTTTGCAGTATTGGATGTAATATTACTAGACATAGGATAAAAGTTGAGATATTTAATGGTATAATTAAAGAGGGTATTTTTTAAAATATTCAATGATATTAATAGGATTAAATCTGAAATATTGAATGTAATTATTAGGAAAAGTTTGAAATATTTATTTTGTAATAGGATAACTTTTGAAATATCTAATGATATCATTATTAGACTAATGGGATAAAAGTTGAGATATTTAATGGTGTAATTAATAGAGTAATTTTTAAATTATTCAATGATATTAATAGCATAAAATTTGAAATACCAAATGTGATTAATAGGAAAATTTTGAAATATTTAATGTTAGAATAAATTTTGAATTATTTAATTTGATAAATTCCTAGACTGGATAAAAGTTGAGATATTTATTGTTATAATTAATAGGATAAATTTTGAGATATTTAATGAACACCATTACTAGACTGGATAAAAATCGAAATATTTAAGGTTAAAATTAAGGGGGTAAACGTTGAGATATTTAATGATATAATTACTGGACATGGGATAAAATTTGAAATAATGTAACTAATAGCGAAACTTTTGAGATATTTCATGATATTATTAACAGAAGATAAACCTGGAAATTATTATATAATCAGTAGGATGGACAGCTGTGGTTGCCTTGAGACAAAATTGTCCCTTCAGAGGCTCTTTCTGCCCAGGAATTGGTTTTAATAACAAGCCCAGGGCCAGCTTTGTCTGGAGACCCTCTACTGGGAGATGCTGTGCCAACACAAAGGTAATTAATTAAAGGGGTTTTTAATTAGCTTTTATTAAACAATCTTTTAACCTCTCTTCCCTCTCCTCACTAATATTTATCACAGTTCAGTCCATCCATGTTCAGTCCCCTCAGTATTTGGGAGGGAAATAGAGCTGGAGCCCTTTTATTCTTTATTTACTCCATTTTTTTGGAGGTTTATTCTGTATTTACTCCATTTTTTGGAGGTTTATTCTGTATTTACTCCATTTTTGAGGTCTCTGAGGGAAGGCAGGAGGCAGAAAATACTCACTTTCATCATCTCATCCAGACTTGCCAGCACTTGGTGGTCGGGTAAGTTGTTGAGCTCTCTCCTGTAGGCTCTCAGATCCTCGTAGATGCCCTGCAGGCATTTACTCTGGGAAGGGTAGAATTAGCAGGAAATGTGGGAATCTGCTGTTAAATCCACAATGAGAGGGAGAAAAAAAGGGATTCTTATGGGAAATTTGCAATTTACCTTATCAAAAGTTGATCTTTCCAATGCTGGACAGTTCCCAGTCTGCAAATTAAAGCAGAAATGACTGTGAATTATATGTCTGTTCCATGAAAATATAGGCTGGAACTTTAATTTTTTATATATATATATTTATATATATTTTTCTATCTTTTACCCCTGGATCTTCAGCTGTGCAAGCTTTTATTGTGTTTCTTTGGTTCTTAGTGATATCTTCAAGATCCACCTCTTCGAGGGTGCATTCAAATCCCAGGGTGTTGAGTTCCTGTGTGAAAAAGGGAATAAAAAAGGGACTCAGTTTCATAGGACAGTTTATACATATATATGTGTATAGTTTATACATATATATGTGTATATTTATGTATATATATGTATACAAATATAAATTTATATATATATATCTAAATACAAAAATATGGGCTGGATCCCAGCTTAGCTGAATCCTAGGGATGAGGACTCTGGTTAAACATGAAAGGTGGAAAATAATAGACTGGGAATAAGCTCAGGCTTTGCACAGATTTGGTTCACATGGTGGTGGGAACTGCTCTGCCTCTTCTGCTTTCAATTCTTCTCTCAGACGTTGAATCCCTGCAGAACTTTTATGTCACTTTGGTTTTCAAAGGTAAAGGGTCTCTTAGAAAGTGAAAAAATAGCCAATATTATCCTCAAATGTAACAGGGTGGGGAGCAGCCCCCGTTCAGTGCTGGGGGGTTTTGGGGTTCCCTGAGGTGGAGGTTGCAAAAATAGCAGAGAATTTTAGAAAAAAAAAAAGGAAAGGCTCCTGAGCAAATCCCCAAGCTGAAGGGCTGAGCAGGGAAGGTGTGACATCAGAGGGTCTTAAAGGGAGGCTACAGGGAACACCCACCCTCCTGGGGACCCTCAGCAGCCCCTCAGTGCCAGCTGGGCACCTTCACCACCTTCCTGGGCACTTCCATAGTTCATCACTGCTCTCCTGGGTATCATCACTGCTCTCCTGGGTATCATCACTGCTCTCCTGGGTATCATCACTGCTCCCCTGGGTACCACCACTGCCCCATCACTGTCCTCCTGGGTACCTTCACCAGCCCATCACTGCCTGTCTGGATACCATCACTATCCCGTTGCTGCCCTCCTGGATGCTCTCACCAACCCATTGCTGCCCTCCTGAGTACCTCCACTACCCCTTCACCATCCCCCTGGGTACCACCACTACCCCTTCACCATCCCCCTGGGTACCTCCACTACCCCTTCACCATCCCCCTGGGTACCACCACACCCTTCACTGTCCCCTGGGTACACCTACCCTCACCATCCCTGGGTACCACCACTGCCCCTCACTCCCTCTCCTCGCATCCTCCCCATCCCGCTCCCCGCCCTGCCCCTGCCAGACCTTCAGCCTTCGGAGGGAGGCGTGGGCGGCCTGCAGCAGCTCCCTGGAGCGGTTCAGGGCCTGGGGGGCGGGCAGTGCCAGGTTTGGGGCGGGCAGTGCCAGGTTTGGGGCGGGCAGTGCCAGGTTTGGGGTGGGCAGTGCCCGGCCCGGGGACAGCGGTGCCAGCGCCAGGAGCAGGCACAGCGCGGGCAGCAGTGCCCGCCTCCCGCCGCCAGGCGGCGCTGCCCGCCCGCTCCCGGTGATCCCGGTGATCCCGCTGGTCCCGCTGGTCCCGCTCATCCCGCTGGTCCCGCTCATCCCGGTGCTGCCGCTCCGCTCCATCCCGCTGCTGTGGGAGCGCGCCGGGCCCGGCTCTTATAGGGGCTCCGGAGCGGGAGTTCCCCCTGCGCTCCTCCCTCCCCTCCCCGGCCCGGGGGCAGCCGCGACTCATCCCGAGAGCTGCGGGGCCGGGAATCCCGCCCGGCGGGGGGGCCGGGGGTGCCGGCTGAGCCCGGCCCGGGGTGCTGCGGGGCAGCGCTGGAGCTCCTTCCCTCGGGACTGTGCCCTTGGCGCACGGGACTGACAGAAAAATAAGGCTGGCGCGTGGGACGTGGATAAACTTTTCATGGAATCACGGGATCACGGAATCGCAGAGTGCTTGGGTTGGAAGGGAGCTTAGAGATCGTGTCATTCCAACCCCCTGCCGTGGGCAGGGACACCTTCCACTAGCTCTGGTTGCTCCAACCTGGCCTTGGACACTCCCAGGGATGGGGCAGCCACAGCTTCTCTGGGCAACCTGTGCCAGGGCCTGCCCACCCTCCCAGCCAAGAATTCCTTCCCCATATCCCATCTAACCTCCTCTCCCTCCGTTTAAAGCCATTCCCCCTTGTCCTGTCACTCCATGCTCCAGTAAATAGTCTCTCTCTAAGCTTTTCCATTTCTATTCTTTATTTTAGTTTCTTCTTCCAAGGAACAAGCAACAGGACGAGAGGAAACAGCCTCAGGTGGCAGCAGGGGAGGCTTAGATTGGATATTAGGGATAATTCCTTCGTGGAAAGGCTGGTCAAGCATTGGAACAGGCTGCCCAGGGCAGGGATGGAGTCCCCATCCCTGGAGGGGTTTAACAGCCCTGTGGATGTGGCACTTGGGGACATGGGGCAGTGGTGGCATTGGCAGTGCTGGGGACGCTTGGTCTCCATGCTCTTGGAGCTCTTTTCCAGCCTGAATGATTCCAGGATTCTCTGATTCTATGATGATGAGATCTCACTAACGAATACTTGTGAAAACCTGCTTGAAGACTGGATTTTGCTGCTGTCCTCAGGATAAACACCAAATATTTCCCCAGCAGCTCTCACTGCACACGGTCACTCTCAGGGCCAAAAGGCTGCACAAAGCTCTCCTATCCCTCGTGTGCTGTGAAGTCACTGGGATTTTTGCTGTCAGATGTGAAGGGAGCAGGATGAATCAAGAGTTTTTATATTGCATTTTCAGATTGTTTTATTTTAATTGGCAGCCGGTTTCCTATAAGAGGGCTGTGGTGTGTCCAGACGCTCGCTGTGCTCCAGCACCGCATCATTTTCCAATCTCTCGCCGTGTTTTCCACTTCTGCTCCCGTCATTCCTCTGTGGGCTGTGTGGTTTTCAGCCTGTGTAGGAGACACAATAGTCTTTTTTTCTGACCCAAAAGTGAAAGAGGACTTCGGGATGTGCTCAGAGGGGTGTTCTTGAAAAGGCATCACTTCAGCTTTCCAGGTTTCTCTGCCGGAGGTTCTGTCCCAGCACTCAGGGCATGAGGTTTCCCATCAGCTTTGGGCAAGTTTCTTTTCCACGGTGTTCCTGTGCTGCACTTGAGCTCCTGCTGGGATTTTAGCAGGAGTTCTTTGTCCAAAAGGGGGAATATTTCCCTCAAACACCTTCAGAGGTCTCTGAGTGCCGGGAATGTCCTGTTGGTTCCAGGGTTTCCAAAGCAGGGGAGCTTTCCTGGCCCCTGCTCCCTCAGCCCAGCAGTTGGGGAAAGTGTTACTGAGACGTGGGGTGGGTTTAATTGGCTGAGAAATCGGAATATATCCAAATTTTATCTTTTATACATGTCCTGTAATCCTTGTGGTGGCTGCTCCATCCCTGGGAGTGTCCCAGGCCAGGTTGGATGGGGCTTGGAGCAACCTGGGCTGGTGGAAGATGTCCCTGCCCATGGCAGGGGGACACTGGGTGGGCTTTAAGGACCCTTCCAAGCCAAACCATTCCATAATTTTATGATTCTATGATTTAAACACAAAGGGACATCAAAGCCCAACCCACAAATCCAGAATTATTCCCAATCCATTAGAGAAGACAGACACAGAGCTGCTCAAAGAGCAAATATCCTATTTTAATATAATATATCATAACATATCATACATTGGCTTATCCTAATATAATTATTATGAACAGTAATTGCCAAAGTGCTTCATTCCTGCTCAAGCCTGGTCAGACAGAGGATTCTTTGAGATGAAGGAGGAGACAGAAGGATCTCTTCTCTTAGCAGGAAAAAAAAATTCCTCATCAGAATTAGAATCAGAGAATCATGGAATGGTTTGGGTTAGAAGAGACTTTACAGCTTTTCTGGGCAACCTGAGCCAGTGCCTCCCTAATATAGCATTACATTTATATATATATATATATATTTTTATATGAAAATATTTTTATATAGAGAGATATTTACCTATATTTATTTATATATTTTATAATATATTTTTATATATAGATAATATATACAGATTGCCATTTGATATTATCTTGGGGAGTTGGATGTAATGAAGATATTGTGTCTCAATCTCAGGTGCCTGATCTCATCAGGCAGATGAGGGATTATAAAGGTGGAGAGATGAATTTATTATTAAAACAAGAAAGACAAGGCTGTGTCATCTCCTCATTTAGAGATTCTGTGCAGTAATTGCATACTAAGGTCTATTAAAGCTCTTAGAAGATGTATTAGTTCACATGAGAAAATGTAATTCCACTGGCTTTATTTCAATTTTAAAGGCCAATTTCAATTTTAAAACTTTTTTTTTATTGGGTTTTTTTTTTGCTGATCCAACACCCAGAGACAAAGAAGAACCATATTTGGTCTTGCTGTTAAACTGCATTTTGGCTCTGCTGTAATCCAAATTAGGGGAAACCAGGAGCCAGGGAAATCCTCAAGCAAATCAATACTTCAAAATCCTCCTCGAAAAAGAAAGGGAGAACAGAAATAAGAAAGAAACCCCTTAAGAAAAAAAAAAAAAAAACACCCAAACTCCAGGAGTGGAGCTCAGTTCGCTTTTGAGGCCAGTGATGAGAAATGGGATCTTCTCCAGCCACGCTCTTCGAAAAAACTGGGAGGTTCCTGGAAATGGCTGCTTTTGTTTCAGTCTTGCCTTGGCTTCTCTGCCCTCTGATAAATACAAATCTCATTTTTGCCTTCGTCTCCCTCTCCAAGACCGAGGTAAGCGAAGACCATTTACACACAATCAGCGTTTTCCTTGAGGGAAATGACGTTCAGGGATGTTTCCCACCCGGATTTCTCGCTGGGTGTGATTTTTTTTCTGCTGTGACCTGACAAATCAAGGGAGTTTTCCCCATTCTAAGGGCCCAGACACCAAACCCTCTGTGAAGGTCATGTGGTAACAAATCTTCAGTGGGAAGAGTTTGGTTATTTGTAGGGGAGTCCTATTTCCTGTGATTATAATTAGGCAATATTTTAGTGTGTATAATTATGGAATAATTACAGACATATAGAAATTAAAGCTGCAGGAAGATTAAATCCCAGCTCAGCTGACAGTTAACTGGAGATGGTTGCTGCATAAAAAATGGGTGAAATATTGTGTGGAATAGGATTTCTGGATTTCTTGTTCAACAACAGAGTATTTTTTACACTCTTTGCCACTCTTAGACTGTGTGGAATATTGAATCTTTTTTTTTTTTTTTCTCCTGGCCAATTTTTTTGGAAGATCCAGGGTCTGTTGTATCACCAGAACAGCCTCCCTGACAGAAGTGTTGCTTCTGGGCTGGGCTGGGAGCTGCTGGCTCCACGAAATAGGAGAGTGAGGACTTGAAAGGAACTTTCCTGGTGGTTTTTTTTGGCTGCTGGTGCTGGTTCTCTGTGGAATCCCCTGAAACAAGGAATCCCAAACAGCTGCTTGTGCTGAGATTTCCTCAGTGTGGGATTAAATGGTGCTCCTGATGCTTTTCTGCCCTGGCAGTTGGGTGCTGGAACCTGGCTCAGTCACCTGCACGTCTTGGCTCTTCTCTCTTCCAGGTTCTCCAGGAATTCCTGCGGTTTTCCCCGTGGTCCTGCCGTGTCCTGCAGCATCTCTGCTCTCCACTGCAGCTCCCTGCTGACACCCTGTGTCCTGAGGGACCAGCCAGGATGGGGCCCCCAAATTTTCAGGCTCCTCTCCAAAGCTGGAATCCACTTTCCGAGGTAGGACCATTCCTGGGAAAGGTGTGGAGCTGGTGAGTGCCACTGGATAGGAGTTGTGGCTCCCTAAAAGCACACAGGTGTCGGAATGGGTATGTTGTGGACAGGAAACTTCTCACACCGAGATGGGAGGATTAGATACTGGGGAGGAATTCTTCCCTGGGAGGGTGGGGAGGTCCTGGAGCGGGTTTTCCAGAGAAGCTGTGGCTGCCCCATCCCTGGAAGTGTCCAAGGCCAGGTTGGAGCATCCTGAGCTAATGGAAGGTGTCCCTGCCTGTGGCAGGGGTGGCACTGGATGGGCTTTAAGGTCCCTTCCAACCCAAACCATTCCATGGCTGTGACTCCATAGGGGTAAAACTCTCCATCCATGGGGTTTATTTTCGAATTTCACAGCATTAATAGAAATTAAAAGCTCCTTGAGGGACCATCAAGGGCTGGATGGAGCTTCAGTGGGTGCACCCCCTGCTCCTGCCTCAGAGCACGGGGTGGTGATGCCTCTGCTGCCCATCCCCCCAGGGCTTTGGGAACCCCTGAGCTCCCCCTTCCCTGTGCCTGCTCTGCCCATCCCCCCAGGGCTTTGGGAACCCCTGAGCTCCCCCTTCCCTGTGCCTGCTCTGCCCCCAGCCCTGAAAGCACCGGGTGAGTCCCGGGCCGTGCCAGCCGTGCCCGTGTCCCGTGGGCACTTTCGGGGGAGCTCCTTCTCTCTCACTTTCAGTTTTCACACACTGCAGAGTTTCTCGCCTCTGGGTTCACTTGGTTTCTTATTTTCTGCTCTCTCATCCCCCCCTGGAATCTGCTGCCTGTGGGTGCAGATGCCATGGCCAGGCAGGAGGAGAGCGGGGATGGGACAAAGGGCTCACTGGAGCTTTGCTCTCTCCTCCCTGCTCTTGCCTTTGCCCTGGCAC